TCAATTCTTAACTCAAAGTTTTTAATTAGAAAAGAACCCACAATCCTCCCTCCAAGCACCCACCCACACTGCAGTAACTGAAATAGTTTATGGAGCTACATAATGGGATGTTCTTCCCATATCATCAGCAGCATTCATAGTACTGAGCAGAATGGTTATCCTAATTTCTCTAGCTTTTTGAGGTAGTCTTAAGTGTCATTGTTTTGTGTTAAGATGATACTTTTAAAAACAGCTTCATTTTTATTTTTTTATAGGTAGTGATGCTTACTCACCAAACAGTGTTTGCAAATACATTCTCTAGGTGTGTGCTAGATACCACCGTAGCAGGGTAGAAACAGAAATTCTATCCAACCACAGGGCTGCAGCGTTATGCAATATCCTTCAGTCAGTCCTCTTTTAAAAAGCTTCCAAGCATGGAATAATGGCTTTTCAGACCCAGATGGGCTCTGGAGGGGAAAAAACACCCACACAAAACACTCAGTGAAAACTATAATAGACCTTTCATCGTACAAGAGAACAAGTTAAACCATAGCTGGAAAGACACTTTATGCAGTACATGTAGTGCAGGTACTACACAAGATATGCTTTTTCTTTTCAGCCAAGTAATTTTCCATGCTTGCATTAAAAGCTGGGATTCTCTCAGATGGACACTGACTAGCCATACTTGAAGCAGACTGGAAAGAAAAAAAGGGACCTAAAAGCATCACCCTGATAAACTGACTCAGAGAAAGAAGCAAGTCTTAAGGAGTGGGAATGATCACTAACTTGAGACCAAAGTATTACTGTCCTTCTGAGAGCTCTTTTGGACTTGGGCAACTCACATTGCTACCCCACGCTACTTTGAAGAGGTCCATCCTCATTGTCCGTGGGCAATTTCTCTTATTTTTCACAGAATCTGAGCTAAGTTTATGGTCGACAGCAAAAGCATTGGTCTGGAAATGGCGTCTGGGAGGATTCACTTCTCTGAGGACTCTTTTCCCCTCTGCCTCTACCTCCTGTGCTTCCTCTCACCTACCTATTCTACCCCATGACTTCCACTTCCTTATCTTTAGTTTAGACATCCTTGTACTCACCTACTGCATTCTGAAGAACTCAAGGCTAAATATCCAAGTGCACATAAGAAAATGCAAGTGGGGATTTTTATTTTATTTTTAAAAACATACATTAACTTGTTTCTAGCTCTGTAAACAGGTGAGCACTGGGACCATAGAGTAATCTTTTGGGACTGATCCAAACCGTATGACATCTTACCTGTTGGCAAATTCACCAGTTACTGCCCTTTCTGTTTCAGCTTGTAAGTACAGAACAAATTCTGGTATCAAAAAGTTTATATCCACACTATTTAGAAGTGATTTTTCGTTTTCCAAGGTGGAGACTTATATTAACTACTTGGGGAAAAATAATTCCTTTTAATTAAATTACAGGGGTACAACAATAGCGAACAAGAATTTGAGATGGGATTTGTTTGTTGGTTAAGGGTGAAGGAGAGAAGATCACAGGTAGGAATTCCATTCTCCTACCACACTTCCTCAGGCAGACTTGGGGAAAAAAAAACAAAACAACAAAACAGCCAGATTTTGGCCACCAAAACCTAGCATTTTCTTCAGTATGCTCATCAAATATTTAAGTATCAAGGGCAAAATCAGTAACTACACTTGGGGACTACATATGTAGCCTCTGGAGAATAAGCATTTTGCTGAGAGCTGCAATCCAGTATAAACTGAAGCAGATTTTTCTCCCTACAAGAGCTTCCTCTATTCACAGGTTGGTAACAGCACAGTTTACACCAGATTTACTCAGTGCTGTAGTCCTAGCCTTGAGGCACAGGCAGTCATTAAGCACGTGTATGAGACTTCACATTCTTCAAGATCCGCTAGGCTTGGACTCAGTGGCAGACAATTAAATCCTTGCCAGATTGCCTGAGAATTTTAGCTCAGAACGAGCGCTGCACTCCCCACATCACCCTCATACTTGTACCTATGGCTTTACTGAATTTCACTGAATTTCACTGAATTTCACTGAATTTTTAGAGTTGGAAGGGACCATAGAAATCATCTAGTCCAACTCCCCTGCTGAAGCAGGACCACCCAGAGCTTGTCAGAGCACGTTACTCAGGACTGCATCCAGGTGGGTCTTGAAGATCTCCAGAGAAGGGGACTCCACACCCTCCCTGGGCAGCCTGTTCCAGGGCTCTGGCACCCTCACCAGAAAGAAGTTTTTCCTCATATTTGAGTGGAACCTCTTATTTTCCAACTTGTGCCCGTTGCCCCTCGTCCTCTCACTGGGAACCACTGAAAAGAATCTGGCTCCCTCCTTCCCTCCCTCCTCCCTCAGCACGCCCTTGAGATACTTGTAGGCATTAATAAGGTCTCCCCTCAGCCTTCTCTTCTCCAGACTAAAGAGTCCCAACTCTCTCAGTCTTTCTTCATAAGGGAGATGCTCCAATCCTTGAATCATCTTTGTTGCTCTTTGCTGGACTCTTTCCAGCAGTTCCCTGTCCCTCTTGAACTGGGGAGCCCAGAACTGGATGCAGTATTCCAGTTGTGGCCTCACCAGTGCAGAGCAGAGGGGGAGAATGACCTCCCTTGACCCACTGGCCACACTCTTCCTTATGCAGCCCAGGATTCTGTTGGCCTTCCTGGCCGCAAGAGCACACTGTTTACTCATTGCCATTTTACTGTCTACCAGGACCCGCAGATCTTTCTCTTCAGTAGTTGCCTCTAGCGGGTCCACCCCTAACCTGTATTGGTGCCTGACATTCTTCTTCCCCAGGTGCAGGACCCTACACTTTTCCCTGTTGAACCTCATGAGGTTCTTCCTTGCCCAGC